GGGGAGAGACAAACCAGAGGGGGGTGTGACACTACACTACTCCCCCCCCGGGGGGCAGGTTGGGGCAACGGATATGTGTATATGTTTTGCCCATCATCAGCCATGGCTGCACCAAACCTGAACCGTTTCTGCCGTACGATGTATCTCGCGGTAGCCCCACAACACAACAACACAGCCGTCCATGTCCTGGCTCGATTGGTGCCTTGTGGGCAGAGATACAGACGGGGGGGTATGTAGACACTAGAAAGACTAATCCCCCCCCGGGGGGCAGGTTGGGGCAACAGATATATTTTGCCCATCATCACCAGCCACGGATGTACCAAACCTGAACCGTTTCCGCTGTACGATGAATCTCGCGATAGCCCCACAACACAGCAACACAGCCGTGCATGTCCTGGCTCGATAGACGCCTTGTGGGTGGAGATACAGACGGGGGGGTATTTAGACCCTAATCCCCCCCGGGGGGGGATTTAGACACGTCGCTTGAGAAATGTTGGCATGTTGTACAAATGCCTATTAGTCGAACATCGAACGAGCACCGGCCTGAATCAGACCGGAAGGAACGAATCAAGGGGGAATATCATTAGACAGATAGGTGTGATGACCACTTACTTCGCGGTGAAGATTCAATCACTCGCCCAATGAATGATACTTGCCGAGCAGAACAGCTAGAGGCGGCATGCATTTGGTCTCCTCCAGCGACACAAGAAGACTCTGGGGATTGGACCAGCAAGAATATACTTCATGCCTACCAAGAAAACGTGCATGCACTGTGGGTATGTCTCGAATGGGTAGTCTTTCTGTGTGTGTTTTTATCATTCCTTAATGCATTGATTGATAACGTTTTGTTGTTGTTCTACTTATGAACGGCTGCTCCTCCCTGGCATCAGCACCACCCAAATTACCCGAGTCACCAACAACTTTTCTTTCCACGACGCTGCGTCTGTTTACAGACAGTGTTCCGTGACCGCCAAGTCACATTAACACCTACACTACTACCTACTACTCCGAACGAACGCATCCATCCATGTATTTGTCCTGGTAAGCCAACAACACACAGACAATAGGAGCAACATGCAGTGAAATCAACCCCAAGATGTACACGTACTATTCAACAACATCGTCTAAAGAAAACGGTCCGGAAGGACCACAGCAGCAGCAGTGTATCAAGAATAGCACCGAGCGGGAACACACCTAGAACTGCGCTCCCTGCATCTCGCTCCCCAAACCAACGGGAAGGAAGAAGTCAAGAGTCACCCAGTCCTTACTGGAAAATATTCGTCCAAGTCTTGGGACTTGGAACACAACAGGAAAAATATGCGTTTTCCGCGCAGGGCACCAGGATGCAACTATACACACCCACCCAACCCGACCAAGCAGGTAGCCCCCGCACGTCGAAGACAATGTGGTCCAACAACACCGCCCAAGACATCTCAATGGTAGATAAGTAATGAAAAATAGGAGAAAACGCCGCTACGCAGGTTTCTACATTTCATGTAGTACAACGAACATCACCCGTGCAGCAACGTGCTGTGGTCTATTGGTACGCAACAGAAGACGCTACACCTGCGTCTCATGCAGGATTTCGATCTTCCGCTGCTACAGGGAATATCAAGTAGCTCCATCCCACCCCAACGCGGCAAAATAAGACCGACCGTACATATATAGACGTATGGTAACTGCGAGGATGATGAATGACCTCAAATGAAACCAGAAAAGTACGCCTGCGTGCCCCAAATCCAATCTCTGCCAGCAAGACCGAAGCAAACGATCATCCCTTTTAGGACGCGTCGCCATAGATCAAGCCACGTATTTAGAACGTAGCAGACAAAATGATTTGCCCCCCAATTCATTGTGCCCTTGTTCAACAGCTTCTGCTGAAAAGCGTTCACACATGGAACACCCAAGGCCACCTAACCAAACAACACTCACTTAAAAAAAAAACTACAGAAGTATGAATCTCAGTCAACCGATAAAGAAACACATTTTTTCACCGAGGCGTCCTATTCTTGCGCTTGAGGTATGTACTCGTTGGACATAATACGTAAAGGGTCCAGACTATAAATAATACGATTCGCCGCCTTTCGTCCAGCGGAGATGGCGGAGGCTCTCTCCGCGATTGACAGTCCAGTGCCAGAGTGCATCCATCCACCCCGCCCATGACATAAAATCGTCCAGCCACATCCGAAAGATGTTCCGATCCTACACATGCACCCGCCCGCGAACAATCAAACATGTATTCGCCCTACAAGTAGTCTACCCCTTTCACAACGGTACCGCTTCATTGACAAAACGACGAGCTTCATAGAAAGACGGAGGATGAATGCATCCGGCGAGGGCCTGGTTAATACACGTACACTTCCCCCCCCCCAGACTGAGCATCACCAGCCCAATAACCACAGCAGCACTTCCTGTTGCCGGTCTCCTTGAGAGGCGGACGTCCGCAAACAACCATAATATCTGTATGTCAACAGTGAGTGGTATCCCCCCCACCATACCTCCCACACGGCAGCATACTACCGCCATGCGAACCAGCCTTTGCTTAACATTCTACCGTCGTCTTCCTTCTCAACATCAATCAAGCCTTAGAACCCGTGGCCGGCCTTCTTGTTGGCGTTGCCGTCGCCGCCGTCCCCTCCGCTGCCGCTGCCACTGCTGCTGGTCATCTCGCTCATGCCGCTAACGCTGCTGTCGGTGTACGAGTTAATCCGCCTCTCGCTCGGCCACTCCACCCTGGACACCACGATGTCGCTGTCGCCGTCTTGCTCTTCGTCCGCCTGTGCCTGCGCCCGAGACATTCGGATACGTAACGAGGGAGGGTGGGCGGTAGGTGATGAGATAGGGATAAAGGTCGCGACCCCCAATTGATCGGATATTAAAACATCCGTCACCATCACCTTTGGGAGGTCGACACGGGCGTCTTGTGTTGAGAGCTGGCGGACTAGCTGTGCAATGAATAGACCAGAGCCGTCAAGGGTTAGGGTGCCTTCGATGACACCCGTAACCGATCGACACACTATTATAGATAAAACATGTATTGGGCAAATAAATGCGTGGTGAGTGTCAAGATTCGATGGTGGTGCTTGCTATCTCCGCCGGAACAACACCAAATAACCCACAGCAGCGGCTACGGCTCAAGAGGGACTGTTTGGGGGAACATACGGAGAGCAAAAGTGGCTTGTTGTCGCGGCCATGAAAAACATGCTTCTAGTACTTCCGAAGTATACTATTATTACAATACAACATCCTACGGTAATGAAGAAGAGCGGAATTTAGAGAGAGAGAGTGTCCTCGGCTTGTCCGGGCCGTCCCTTAAACCGTAGGTCCTACCACCGGTACACCAGTACTGATGCGACCCAAGAGGGCGTTCGTCCCTCTCCGTGAGCGCATTTCCCCGCGCGGCACCGTCTCTCACCATTGCCCTGGCGATGGTCTCCCGGTCGTACATCGGGCTCGCGTCAGAGATGTGGCGCGAGTTTACCGCTGTCTTCGGGGTTTGAAGGGTCATGGGTGCCTTGGGCATCGAGGGAGACGGTGGCATTGGCAAGGCCGGCATTGGAACCCCCTGGAGCGCCCTAGGGGAGTCGGGCCCGGGACTCTGCAGGTTCATCGCTGCCCTCGAGAACGGGGTCTGCCCAGGCTTCAAGGACGCGTCTGTGGCAGCGTAAGAAAGGCGGGAGGAAGGGGCTGGTTGAGACGGAGCTGACTACAACAACAATGCTTCCAGATGTTGCTGATTGTTGTTGTTCCAAGTGCGAAGACAACGCAGCGACGAGCCACCGCCTACTGCACGAACGTGAGAGTTACAGAAACTCTGGCAAAAAACAGACACGTTTGAAAACTTGATCTCGCGTGTACCACACGACAGCGTAAAACCATGCACAGCAGTGGTTGGTCGCTGTATAAAGCGGTTCAAAGTGATGAAGGGATTCGGCCGGCCAAATGCTGGGCACCCGTCCAGCGCTATTCACCAACGACCACTCTCTCCTACACATCTTCGACACGGCGGGGTCATACCACACCCGGGTATGTAGACCGCCTGACAGCAACCAAAACTCATGCGCGTGAAGCAGCCATCCCCTTGGAGACCTACAACGGTACAAACACACTCATACCCCCCGCCCGCGGAGGCCCTAGCTTTTGGGCGCGCAAAAAGAACCAACCAAGAACAGCAAGAAAACAGCACATCATGGAAGACGGAAGGAGGGAGACTCACCGGCTTCTTCAGTCTGGATCACGAGCGTGGGGGTGTCGGCGGCAGGGCCTTGAGCCGGTTCCTGGAGTAACATGGCCTCGTCATCGGTGTCGTCGTCGTCGTCCTCCTCCTCCATCGCCACGTGCGAGATCTTCACGTCCACGAACCCTTCGTCGAGCGATGACTTCGACTGCGTTTCGCCGATGGCTTCGGGCCACATGTCCAGCGTGTGGGACTCGGGAGACCTGGCGAAGTCGGGGGGAGAAGAGTCGTCTGCGGCATCGATCGTAACGGTACCGATGGCCTCTTCCTCTTCCGCTTCTTCCTCCTCTCCCTCTTCCTGTTCCTCGTCGCCTTCTTCCTCTTCCTCTTGATCGACGGAATCGGCCGGTGCCACAATACCGCCGTTATCCTTACGGCCGAGGAACGCCGACAGAGCGTTCTTCAGAGAGAACGCGGGGGGCTTGTCCGCGTCCTCTCCAACCGACGACTCATCCTGACAAGAACCGGCCGCGCCCGATGCCGATGCCGCCGACGCCTGGCCCGCAGTTCCGGCGCGGGCGGCAGCAGGCGAAGGGCTTGCCAACGCCGGGATAACATCATCATCACACACAGCAGTGCCCGGCATCGCCAGCGCCGTCTTCTCGCTCTGCTGCATCGCCTCTTCCCAGGCCCTGTGCTCCTCCACTTCGTCTTCTTCTTCCTTCCTGCTCCTGGCTGGCGACGGGAACCCCCGTGCGTGGCCCGCAGCTCTCGGCGCCGCTTGTTCCGCCTCCAAGCCTTCCTCCTCCTCCTCCTCCTCCTCCTCCTCCTCCTCCTCCTCCTCCTCCTCCTCCTCCTCCGTCGCCTCGCCGGACTCATCGCTGCTCTCGGGACGCTGAGCCGGCGACGGTATCGGCACAACCGTCGTGTCAACCTCTACCGTAGAAGCCGCCGCCCTCAAGGGGGACACCGTCGAGGCGGTCGTGCTCCCGGAATCCCAGGTACTGCAGTGGACCTTGAGGTCGCACTCATCGTCAATCTCGGGGGTAGCAAGCCCGGGCAGCGGGACGCCTTCCATCGGGACCTCTTGCACCGAGCTGAGAGACCTGCCGTGGCTCCCGGAGGACGGCGGGGGGATCGCCGCTACCTGGCCGGCCTTCTCCATCGCCGCCGCGAGGAGAGCGGCCGGGTCGCGGGGGACCCGGTACCCGCTCCTGCCGCTCATGGACGACAAGCACGAGCTCACGTCGCTGCCGGCCTCCGAATCGGTGAAGGACCCGCTGTCCGCCATCTCGGCGATCGGCTTGAGTTCGGGGGTCATCGTCCGCGAGCGAGACAGATCGAGCGCCTTCTCGAGGGACACCGCAGACGCCGATGCTTCCCCCTGGCCGACACGCTCGCCGCGGCCGTCATCAGGCCCGGAGTTGAGCTGCGGCCGCGAAAGGGGCGAGCAACTCCCAGGCGCACGTCTCCCGGCGACTTCCTCGTTCTCCTCCATCTCCTCCTCCTCCTCGGCCAAGCTGCTGTCATCGTCGTCGATCTCCGGCAGACGGCTGCCGGCCCTCGGCGACAGACGCGCGGCCCCCTTCCCCGGAGAAAGCTGGGGCGCCATACACCCGAAGCCAGAAAGCATGCCCCCGAAAGGTGCAGGAGGAGGGGCACCGCGAGGGGAAAGGGCGAGGTCAGCACCCTCACCGGTGTCTTCTTCTCCGTCGGGCTTCTCGCGAATGTCGTACGCCTTCGCGGCGGCGACGGCCCCGGCCGCGACTGCAGCGGCCGCGGCCGTTCTCGAGACATCATAGGGTTTCCCAGAGGTTTCGCCGTGATTGGCGGCGGGGAGGGACGGCATCCCCGGAGGCCCTTCGTCGGACACGACGCTGTCGCCGCTCTTGTCAGCGACAACGCTCTTGTCAGAGTCGCCGCCGCCGCCGGCGGCAAGCGCACGCACGGCGCGACCAGTCGGCGACTCCACTCCCACCCTCACCTCAGCAAACGCCGCCGCCGTCGCCAACACCGAGAACCCCCCCTCTACCCCCTCACCGCCGTCGCCGCCGCCGCCCCCAGACCGATCGGTGCACGTCGATCTGTTGGACGGAGACGTGGGGGTCGTTGCCCCGTGGGAGCTTCCTCCTGCCCCCCTGCCCCCACGCGACTTCGAGGAAGACCCCGGGGCCTTCGCGAACATGTTTCGCCCGGCCTTGTGGGTCCTGAGCGGCGTGGGCACGTCCGGGTCTTCGCCGGTCGTGCCGAACGAAGCACTTCCCGCACGGCCCCTTCTGGGGGTGGTGCTACCATCCGCAGCGCCCCCGCCCTCGGACGCACCGCCGTCCGCGAGCCCCCTTCCGGCCGCGGAAGCAGCAGCAGCAGCAGCAGACGCAGCAGCGCCGCCGTTCTCGTCAGCCTCCAGGTCGATCTCGTAGATAGGAGAACTCGCGCGCGCGTTGAGGTTGCCGCTGCTGCTGCCGCCGAAGGCGTTGTTGTTGCCCCCCGGGCTGAAGCCGCCCTCGCTGCCGAAGAAGCCGGGCATGGAGCTGGGGTCGGCGCTGGAGGCCGTGACGGTCGGGCTTGTCGAGTGGCACGCCTGCAGCCGCGACGGCCTGTTGAGCGCTTCTTTCAGGCGGTTGAGCTCCTGGGGGCATCGATAATATCGTATCGGGTCGGGTCGTTCGTGTCGTGGTGAGGGTCAGGCAGGCGTGGGTGAGAAATCCGGTCCAACAACGTCCGACGTGCAGGCCGCGGAGATGATGGGGTGGCTGCAGCTACATATCTAGCTAGGCCCAGCCCGTGCTTTAAAGCGCAACCTAACCCAACGTGCCTACACGGTGGCATAAACGCTCAGGGTGACGAGACGTTACCACTTCGGCTGTGCAGTTTCTCAGTACCTTGCCTCCAACACCTTTTCAACCCCTACACGAGAGGGTCAGTGGTAGAGTGAGTACAACAGAGGGTCCCAGGACACGACGACTATGCACCCGACAGCGACAGCGGTTGACTACCACCAAGAACCCATCGCTTCCGGAGCACCCGTTGCCATGGTTTACCGGCTCCCCGCACGAGGCACTTCCCGAAATTCCGCGAACGACGAAGAGAAACACAACTTCTTAAAACGGGGAATGAACCTGCGAAAAAGTGCCGGAACAATCTATTAGATACCACCATTTCACCGTTTCTTGTGGTGGGCCCTCAAAAACACCCGTTGAATAACGCCAATGGCCCTGTGTAGCGCCGGTGGAATTGCTGGGCACAGCCAGAGCCCTGAAAAGCACCAGTACCACGCAGGCAATAAAATATAAAGACGAGGAGCAAATCGAGCCCCCCCCGCAGGTCTAGCGGTTTTACGGTTGTCTCAATCCATTCCGTTCACCTTGCGAGGCGAAGTGATAGCGTTCGCGATCACCGTCCCGGCCTTGGCCAAAGATGACCGCACCACGGGGTCGTTGTTGTGCTGCACGCTGGCGTCTACTTCGTCCGACACGTGCCAATGAACCTGCCGGGGCAAGTGGTGAATAAACAACACAGCAGGCGGGGGGGGGGCAGGGCGAGAAAGGTTAGGTACACACCATCATCGCACGATCCGATCATGATCCGACAAGCAGACGCGTCACTATCCTGTTTCGGATGTTGTTGTGGCTGTCTTTCGCACTACGGATGGAGTCTCTAAGGCTTCAATCGCCTTGGGGGGGGCTTTCTTTAAACGTGTTGTGCGTCCTTCGTTCACAGGCTGGCACACGGGGAGAACGCTTAAATGAAATAAGGTACTGCTGTAAAACGTTTAAATAAATGTGTGCTGCCACCACCAGCCATGATCCATGCAGCAAACGAGCGGAACAACATTCACCACAGCCAATCCAATCTCGCCGCGCTTATCCAAGCCGGAAGACACCCGAACCCCAACAAAGAAACACGGAACACATGCTGCTGCTACAACCCCCCCCTGTTTTTCGTTCGTTGGTCACCTGGCTTTCCATGGCGGCGCTGGCGTCGTCCGCAAGCGGCGTTAATCCGACCTTCCCGCCCATGCTCCCGTCTGCCGCCGCCACCACATGGTCCTGGTAGCTCGTGTAGAAAGGCTCGCCAGCCGACTGTGACGCAGATCCCACAGAGAGGGGAGACCGTCGGGGGGATATGGGTGCGCTGCGGTAGGTGTAGTCCCTGAAACGCAGTTATACGGGCAACAGGAGGGGGGGGGGGGGGGCAGAGAGATCGATTCAATGTGTCCATCAGCAATTGCTCTAAATTTGCCTACCTTGTCAGCAGTACAGCAGTAGTGAGTGGCAATCGAGGGCCAGAGGGGGAAGATGGGTACCCCTGACAAGAAGCACTAGACGCCCAAAAGGCAGTCAATTAATTAAACCCACACCTGAGAGCTACAGATCAGGCAACCCTGCTAACCACCCACTCATCACGCCAGAAGTACACAAATCACCCACAAACCACAGACAGCTCGTCACAGTGGCAACCCGCACCCGGCGCGTGCAAGATGGTGACTACAACATGATGACGCAATGCAACACATACCCAAAACCTTTTGATACCTCAGAGGACCGAGACCGAACTTGTGCCGCCAGTCCGCCTCCCCGGGCGACGGGGGCTCCACAGGCACGTCTCCCCCCCGGCCGGGGGAGGTCGACAGCCTAGGCGGGGGGGTGCGCTTCCGGCCAGAGTGCTTCGGCCTTGGTCCCGCCTGCGGCGGCACCGGCGAACGACCGGGGGACAGGCAGCTAGGGCTGCTTCCGTCGGGGATGGGGGATGTCGCAGTCGCCGACCGTTCGTACCGTTGCGGTGAGAGCACGGCGAGGCCGGCCCCGCCGCCGTCCTTGGTGTTCGGGGGAGACTTGACAGAGTACCGCTCTGACTCGGCGGGCTTGGACTTGCGCCATTTGGTCGGGCCCTGCGTAGACGGCGCGGGGGCGGGGGGCGGGGGGGCGTCGTTGAGCTGAAAGCGAACGCGATGGAGTATCGGAGGAAATAGGCCCAGGTGTTGTTGAGCGACTGACATTGCCGTCTTTCACCCAACCGCCAAAACAACAAAAAGGCTGAAATATGTTCTCGAAAAGTCTCGAAGGGTCAAGGCGAACCACGAACCAAAAAACTCTCAAGCACCAAAAACGTTCGAATAAATACTTGAAACGCCAAAGAGAGTGCCACCAGCAAGCAGCACAACCAATAAGAGACACCACGCGCCAGTTCACCCGACTTACCCCGCAGCACAGACAGAAGACACACCAACTCAAGACCGCCAGCAGGAACAGAGCGCCAGCGATCACGGCAAACCAGAGAAGCTTCAGCTCATTGTCGCGTGTGGTGTCCTCCCCCACGACGGAACTCTGGCTCGACGACGTGTCGGCTATCGGGTAGACGGAGGCGTACGATCCATCCCCCGCTGGACACGTTTGGTCTCGGCACTCGTTCTGCCAGAAAGAGATCTGCGTGTGTACGACGTTGGGACGAAGCATGAAAACATGTTTTGGGACTGAATGGGAAGCAATGGTCGTGGATGGGGGTTAGGCGCCGGCGTGCATCTAGGGTGGGATGGGCGTCATCGTGACAACCATGGTTGTGCCGCCGTGCATATAAACATTGTGCGGCATTCTCCGTTGTTAATATAATACTACTTCTGTTGTTTTGTCACCATCAATGACTCATTGACCACCTAATTGCCATGTTTAATAACTTTCCTCTCACGTAGTCCGGTTCTGGCTATCTTTTTCGCCTTACCGAAGTGACTACGACGTTGACCGGCCCGAATTGGTTCTCGTCCATTGCGAGCACGAAGTTTTCGGGCTGCATCAACCGGTCCACCATCGTCGCGGCTGCCATCGATCTCGTGTCGCCCTCCCCGCTCAGGTCCACCTGTGCAGCCGGCCGAACCAACAGCAATAGCAACAAGCGCTTTCAAGTATTACACGAAACCAAATACTCGATTCATGTTCGGGCACCTGCTGTTGGTTGTCGTAAGCCGAACAAGAGGAACTGCTCACAGGAAAAGAGCTGCGCCCCGGGGATTCGGTCCTTTGACCCGTAACTTGATTGTCGCTGTGTACCTCAGCGGCCCTTCGAAGTTAAGCTTGCGCGACTCGCCAACAGCAGTAACAACAACAACTAAAAACCCAACAATGTCGGGCGTGGTTTACACGGCCCGAGATTCGAGGCCGAAAAGGGCCCCCCTCGGGCGTGCTTTAGATTGCGCCCACCGTTTCATCGAGAAAAGCCATCAACAATGATAGCAAACCCCGACTCCACCGGTTCATTTTGGCCGCCTTGTGCGCCGCAAACGCCATTTTCCCGGGACTGAGCACACGGCCGCCCCGGGACTTTTCGGGCGAGGCAGTGACTCTAATAGGCGGCCGGATACCATCGCTCCAGGAGCGGGCAACACCTTATCCCAAGTCATATTTAGGAGGTACTATGCAATGCTTCTCATCTACGGGTCCTCACGGGGGGGGGGCTACGTTGATGATGCTACGGGTATGGTGGACACGACGAGCGTGCTTCTTCTTGCCTAGCCCATGTCCGTAACTTGTTAAGTTAATTAAGCTCGTTAAGCGGGATAGTCAAGTAATTGCCTAGCCCATGCCTGTAACTTGTTAAGTTAATTGAGCTCGTTAAGCGGGATAGTCAAGGAATTTTTTGACGGAGTCACGCCTCTTCTTTATTCTGTGCAAGACGAGGCCCTCGATTCACGAGCCCCGTGAGCTTGATACCTGACACCGCCGTATAAGCGATGACACCCAAACACGATATCGTATCCAATCAAGTACCAAGCCGAAGTGAAAAAGGAGGGTGTGCTCCCCGCGATCCAAGAACAACTGCGGTACAGCAAAACCAGCTACGATACTCCTTGATGAACGTTCGAATACATTCATGGTTTCAGAACCAGCCGCGCACCACCTCAGATATTGGCGGTGAATTGACTGGTGCTCAAGTTTCTCAAGTCGAAAAGAACTTCATCACGACAACGGAATATCAAATAAGGAACCCTACAGCAAAACAAAACAATCCTGGTCGGTTTCCCCCCCGGAGGGAACAAACAAACCGAGCCTCCGGTAAAAAAAGCGTACCACGCCCCAAGCTAAATAAAACAGCTTCTTAAGCTCGAGAACAAGAGAGAGATGACAGTGGAAACCGGACGAAACCTGCTGCTTGTACAGCAGCATTGGGCCAGCACCATCACAACTTGAAAGAAACACACCACAACATGTCACACGCACCTCGCAGGTAGTCACTGGTGTAAGCTGCGTGGCCATGATAGCCTCGTCGGAAGAGCTGTTGGGGTTGAATTGAAAGAGGCATTCGAAAGCGTAACGGCCGGAAACGGGCGAGCTGAAATACAAAACACATGAAGCAAACCAAACGCAAGGTAACACAACAACTATTAGCATCAAGCTAAAAGGGAGTCCGGCAATAGGCAACCAAACAGCACGTACTGTAGCTGAGTTCGAAACGAGTGCTGTTATAGACAGAGGATCACTTGTTTCCACCTTGTGCACGTTCAACAAGGCGAGGCTGAGTATGGACAGGCAGGACGAAAACCATGTTTTTCGTAGCTGTGGTTGCTGACACCAACTGGCAACGCAGCTTCGTCCAACCAAAAATGAACCAGATGCTGCCCAATTCCCAACTCCCGGGTGCATGACACCCCCTCCCCCCGGCGCTTTGGAACGAAAAACCAAGGCCACACACATCTTCTTCGGGCCATGTCATCTATGAATCATCCATCGTTGTGGCAGCTTCCACCTTCTCCACGTACCATACACTTGGAAGTACGACAAGAATAAACAAATAAACCACACTTGCACCTGCTACCTGCTACCTGCTATGACGAAAAAACAAGCAAGAGATTGCAGACACGCATACCCACCTCGATGACGTCATCAAGCCCCGACGGGCGGCGTCCTCAGCGGCGCCGTCAGGACCAAAGGACGTCCACACCGATATGACGCGTTCTCTATCGACCCCCACCATGTATGCGCACACATCCACCATGGTCTCGTCGTACGCTTCAGCGTCTTCCTCATACACCACAGAGAGCGCCCGCCGTTCTGAACG